TATTAGACTAGAACATTATACTATAGAAACTTTGTACAAATGTATATTAGTTACATAGTAGTTCAAATAAATAAAAGAAGGACTGCTTAAAAAAAAAAAAAAAAATAAATAATAATATAGTCATAATTTTTTAAGTTTTTTATATTTTGCTCCTCTTATTGGTCTTTTATTCAAATAAGCATACTGTTCACTTTGATTACTTCTTATTATTTGACTTTTCTGATCAATAAAATATTTTCTCTAAATTAATAATAAATTCATGATTAGAATTATTACATTTAAACAAATTAAATATTAATTTTATTAAATATAATTAAATATTCATCTCCATAACAAATTTGTAGGAAATATATATATATGATGTTAATAAATTAGTTGGAAAATTAGCTTCAATGACATTTTTAAAAACATAATCAGGCCAATATTCAAGAGGGTCATTTTTTTGCAAGATATAAAGAAAGATTAATATTTTCTTTAATTATTTTACTATTAGTTAACAAATATCTTAGAATAAGTTTTTTCAAAGTAGTTAAAAATGTATTTGCAGGAATTTCTGTAGATTTTTCTTCAAAATCTATTGCTTTTAAAATTTCTTGCATTATAGGTTTAGTTAATTTAGCTTGATACTTTAAAGGTATATAATTAACAACTTTATTAGCCACATGTTTTTCAACTAACTTATATAATACTACAATATGTTTAAGCTGTAATCCTATTCTTGCTAAAAATTTATAACTATTATTATTCCTTTTCATCATACCTGATTCTATCTAATTTTTTATATAATCACTAATAAATATATTAGAGTCTTCTCTAGATGTTTGTTTTAGGAAACAAATAATTATTTCTAGGCCTAAAAGTAACTCTGATTTTCTAATATTTCTAGTTTATTATTAGTAGGTATTGGTTCTTGGGGGTATTAAATTTTTAATTTCTTTTAATATTGTTATAAATCTACTAAATAATTCTTTATAGTATATAAATGTATTTAAATACATTTTATCTTTATTAGCCTCAATTAATTTTTTTCTATATACCAATTCTAAAGCCAATTCAGCTTCAATCTTGTATAGATCATAATGAATTTCTTAACTATGACCTACTTTAAAATTATATTGACAATATAAAAAGACCTCATTAACATTATTATAAGTAATTATTTGTTCAGATTTTCTATTTTCAAGACTGATAGATTGAAAGTAATATCTCGAGTCTTGAATGTCTAATTTTTCAATAAATTTTAATGATTGACAAAAACTAGATAAAATTTCAATAATATCATTTAGAAAATTATTCTGTAATTGAACATAGTATTCTATTGCCACACTTAAATATAAGGACTCATCAGTTGGTTCATATGTATAAAATCTATAAACTACTGAAGTTTTATTATCTAGTTTAGGTATTTTTTGTAGCAAATTCTTACAACCATATCATTTAATATGTGGAATCAAACAGTTCCATGATTTTGTAAAGTTGTTAAATGCTTTATTTAAAGACTTTTTAGTTTTTCTAGTATCATCATTTTCATTTTTGTCTTTTATAAATTGCTAAAAAGTTAATTGTCATGCCTTTTGCCTTTCAATATTATAGAAAAGACTTGAATATAGTATTTGTATAAATTTTACAATTAGTAAAAGATATTTAATAAGTTTCAAATTTGTTTCATACTTTAAAAATATGTCTAATAATGAGAATATTTCTTTGTTTTTGCTATTAGACATATAATATGATTAGAAATTGTTTAAATCTAGTTTTTTGATTAATTTCCAAAGCAGAGATAAGTGGCTTTTATTATATTGATTAGTAACTTTAATAAACTAATTAATTTCAAATGAATATACTGCATTCTTATCTAATAT